ATTCCCAGGTATTATTTTTATTCTTTTATTTTTGGGTGATTGTGAGAAGCCTCGGCGAGTTGGAGTCTAAACTCGCCGAGTAGGATCGCGGTTTTGTGTGCGGGTTCGCGTCTGGACTCGGCGAGTCCAAAAGTGGACTCGGCGAGTCCATGCTGTTTAATGAAACCCTAATTTCTAGGGTTTGAGACCTATTTAAAGGGGCTTATGGTCGTCATTTGCAGCCACCAACCCCAGAGAGAAACCCTAAAGAGCTTTTGAGCGTTTTGGGAGAGAGAAGAGGCCATTGTTGACTTTTGAAGCTTGGTTTGGCAAAGCAAATGAGATTATAGCTAAGAGGAGGCAAGGGAGGTGGACATCCTTCGATTTTGGAGCTCAGAGCATCATTTTGGAGGTATATTTTGGCTCCCTTTTCTTTTGTTATGATGAACATGGGGGTTTAGGGTTTCTTGACCCCTTTGTTAGTTAGATTTGATGTCCATTTCGTCCCTATTTGTGATGAGGCTTGATATGGGATCCATAGAGGTCCAGAGAAGCTTTATTCCTTAAGCTTTATGAGGATTCATGGGAGTTTTGACCTAGAGTTATGAGATATGGGGCTAAAACATCATTTAGGAGCAAATAGTTGTTGTTTGAGCACCAAGGTTTGGACTTTACGTGATTATCATGCGTGGGAAAGGCCAGATCTATGATTGTATGGAACATATCTAACCTCAGAAGTGAGTTTGAGTTTATGCATGGCATGGACTCGCTGAGTCTGAAGAATAGACTCGGCGAGTAGCATGAAGTTTGCCCGTAACCACTCAGCGAGTGGTCTTGTCGAGTTGAGGGGTCGACTCAGTGAGTCAGGGAGAGTCAAGGGGAGGGACTGATTCAAGCCGAAACTCGCCGAGTTGTTCTTGAGATTCGGCGAGTTGAGTCGTGGTGGCCCTGCGATTTATGTCAGGTGAAACTCGTCGAGTCAGAGAAGTACTCGGCGTGTCAAGAGAGGATCCAAGGGAGTCAGTGGACACGTATAGACTCGCCAAGTCGCCCTAGTGCACTCGCCGAGTCCGGTCAAAGTTGACCGTTGACCTTGTTGACCTTTAGGGTTGAGTTCAGTTGTATGTATGAGTGTATTACTTTGTGTGATTAGGCGGAGGCTAGATCACATTTATTCCGAGACAGATATTTACCGAGATACGCGAGGTGAGTCTTCTCACTATACTTTACCTTGAGTAGGTAAATAAAGTTATGTGATACAGTGTTTTATATATATTGTTGTTGCACTGCATTCTTCTATGTGATTTATGCTGTGCATGCTTGCAGAGTTAGAACCTGAGGGTTCACATAGTTTGGGTCCACGGACCCACAGAGTTATAGCCTCGAGTGGCTAATATGTGTTATATGTGGTATTTTGGGGAACTCACTAAGCTTTGTGCTTACAGTGTTTTGTGTTATGTGTTTCAGGTGCTAGTGAGGATCGCGGGAAGGCACCGGCTTGATCAGTACACACACGGGATTTTTATGCTATGAGATCTTGGGATTGATATATGTTATGAATTGAGTTTCAAACAATGATGTTTTTATGATAAATAAATGAATTATGTTTTTATAAAATTCGAAAAATTGTTTTGGAAATTTATGGTGTTACAATGTATCTAAACTCTATGATATTCTCTTCGCCAACTACACAAAGGTTCTTATTCGGTTGCTGACTTGGCCACAAGTTTTGGCTATCTATTATCAACTAGTTGCTATTGGACATCCAGTCATGAGATGAAAAAATCTTGTTGGTTTCAATGCAGTCATCGGTCTTTATCTAGGACTTTCTGAACAATACAACAGGTTGTCAAACCATAACCATCATTCTTTGACCTACTTTTCAAGCCGCGAACCACAAGCTCTTTCTATAATTAATACATAAGGCCACCTATTCAGTCTTTGCTTTTGTTGCCCTAAAAAATCAAGTTAGCCAACTTTCCCTTCATGGTGTTACCCTAGTAGCCGATGTCACTCCCATAACTCTTGAGGGGGTTCCTTGGGTAGTCGTGGTCCTGGTAGACTTCCTCCCCCATTGTCAATCTAGTCGTAAAAATGAACATTATGCGATCACATGTCATGATCTTCCCACCTTTACTAAATATTACTCTAGTGTATATGCTAGCTTAACCCAAGCTTTTCCAAGGCCAATGTAGTGACACCGACAACAAATCTAGTTTGTTGATTTAGGTTTATCCTCCCACATGAATGATTCCACAAGCATCCTTGATTCCTTATCATATTCGGCAGAGAACACATTGTTTTTGGAAATGGTAATTATTTAAATATTTTACACATTAATGTTAACTCTTCTATCCCCTACAAAACTAAACTAATAGATATCCTTACCAAGAGACATACCTACTCTACTTTTTGACAACATCGGTGCCTTATTCCTTAGCAGAAATCTCATTTTTCATAAGAGGGCCAAGCATATTGATATTGATTACCATTTTATACAAGAATTCATAGATTTAAATCAGTTGTCAGATGAATATTCAGTTCATTGACACACATCCTCAGCTAGCCGATATCTTTAGAAATAGTCTTGCTCAACCTCTGTTGTACGAAGTTTGTACCAAGCTCCGTGTTTGTCCACCACCTTTCGGCTTGAAGGGGGAATTTCAGATAATATCTGTTATGATTCAAGTATTTAATTTAGAAAATGGTAAGCGGTACACGTTAGTGTAAATTGTTTTTTCTCTTTATAAAATTGCAAGATTAAAAGTGAATAGTTCAACTGAAGAATATATAGACAATTTGTTTACTTTGTTCAGGATAATAAGTAAATATTGTAAACTAAATGTTGCACCTTGTATAGCAAGGAAAAGAAACAAAATAACAAAAAGTGAGGAATACGAGACAAAACTAAAAACAATGAATAATATACTTGAAAACTAGTTCTAGAATTAAATTAGAAAGACACCTACATCTCATAGTTATACTAAAAGAAAAGCTATTTGACTACAACTCTAAAACTAAAAGAAAAGCAATTAAATTAAAAACTTCCAAAGAAAAACCCACGGATCAAAATCCGATTAACTTAACAATCACCCCCTTAATTGGATTGGTCATACCACTCGTTCAAAACACCGACGGTTCCTCTTCGATTAGACCTGCTTCTTCTTTCTCCCATTTAGGACACTCGTTTTTATAATGACCAAACTCACCACATTTGTAACATCTAACGTGACTTTTTATCCCGGACACGTTCATTACCATCTCGACTTCTCTCGGACCCCCGACCTCTTCTCCGGTCACGTCCAAAGTCACCCCGATTTGAACGTCCATTGCCACAATGCTTAAAAACATGTGATTTTTCCTCACTAGCCAAGAATAACCCACCTTGAGTGTCCTCCACTTTCTCGGTTCCTCTTATAGGCTCCTCGTATGCCTTCAATCTACCAACCGCTTCATCAAATAACATTAAATCCAACTCGAAACAATGCTCTATTGAAGCCACGATTTGAAGAAACGACTTAGACATCGAATCTAGTAACCTTTTTATCAAATCACCTTCTTCAAGCTCATATCCAAGACTCCTTGCTTTTGATGCTAAACCACATAATTTTGTCACAAAATCATCGACTGTTTCACCCTCTTTCATCCGCAAGCATTCAAGCTCCCTTTTTAAGGTTGCAAGTCGAGCCATTCTCACCCGATCCACTCCCAGATACCGTGTTTTTAGCCCATCCCACACTTTCTTTGGTTCGGTGTAACTCGCCATTTGCAACACCATGTCTTCGGGTATCACTTGAAACAAAAAAGCAAGAGCGTGTTTTGACCTTTTTTGATCTGATGTTTCACCCGCCTTTGGTTCGACCATCTCCCATATGCCGTGTGCATCCATAATCAACTTGACTTTCACCGCCCACACCGGATAATTCGTTGGAGTCAAAACTGGAACTTGATATGTCATTGAACCTCCTTCTTTAACCAACGGCATCCTTTTCTCCTTAACCCCGACTTCTTTAATCAAGCTTATTCCGAGAGCACTCTTCCACCGGACAACAAAACAAGGTCACGACCACCTTTACCGTCTTCTGTTACCCGCAAAACGAACCGATTCAAAGTCACCCACTTTAATGTTTTCCCATTCGTTTACTCCGCGCCTCCGGTTAGTCACTCACAAGCCCGATTAAAAGAAACCGGGGTTGATTTTAATTAACCTTAAATCACACCCCTTCAACGAAACCAACCGCTCATACCAAGTGTAAACAAAAAGTTGCACCTTGTATACCAAGGCAAAGAAACAAAATAACAAAAAGTGGGGAATACGAGACAAAACTAAAAACAATGAATAATATACGTGAAAACTAGTTCTAGAATTAAATTACAAAGACACCTACATATCATAGTTATACTAAAACAAAAGCTATTTGACTACAGCTCTAACAAATATTTTCACATGAAAAGAAAGATAGAATAGGAGAGATGCATTGGGGTTTCACTTTACATTCTTAATTATCCTGTAAATTCTGTAACATTTTCAGATGTTGTTCTAATCATTACAACATTTAGGCATTGATGCTCATCGATAAACTTGGAGATTCTGTGTTGCTTTTACGTGGTAAAAGCATTTCATGCTTTTCGCGTGACAGAATATGCTCTTTAGAGATAATTAGCAACGGTCTCATCTCTCATAGAATTAATCTAGTAATTAAATTTTATGACGATTAACAGAGTGAACGACTGGTCCAATCTCAATATATTTTTCTTTTTTATTCCAATTTTTTTTTTTTTGGTCAATTTAATAAACATACTTGTCTTAGATATTTTTACAATTTTACTGACGAGTTTGGGAGATTAAACATGGAACAAAGTTGAACAAAGCAATATTTGAGAGAAATAGTAATTGATACTCTTAATCGCACGATGCAGCCATTGGTAAGTTTGTAATAGATTAAAGTTTATGTCGTTGGTTTAAACTTTGTTGCTAGGAAGCAATGGAGACAAAGTAAAAACAATAAATAACTAGAACAATGGCCGGCAGTAATTTCTCAGATTACAACGTAAATTTGGCTCATGTAGGAAACATATCGTAGTAGTTTATCTGAATATTTGGATATAAATATCAATGTCAGGAACTTAGATTACGTATCCCAGTATCTTCATCTTTCTTGCTAAAGAAGGAACTAAAACTCTATAACACCATGGCCAAGAACGCTTCATTGTTTGTGAAGATGGCAGCAGTACTCTCACTTTTCCTGATGCTCATTGTATTGTCAGAAAGCAGAGTCACCCTAATCGGTAAGTCATTTAGTTTCCAACTTTTTAAGTGTTACCAAAATCAGAACGTTTTGTTGTTTTAATTTGTATATTAACCCATGGATGAATGTTTTGATTCATCGTGAACACACAGATGGTGTCCAGAAGGCAAAATCAGCCCTTGTGTGCAGCCAAGTTGTCGGTGTTGAAGCTGGCGATGATTGCACCATCATTAGCAAAGAGTTTGGGATGAGTTTGGCATCGTTTTTGGCAATTAATCCCAACATCAATTGTGAATCGGTCTTTGTGGGTCAATGGGTTTGTATTGATGGAAGCGCCTAATTCATCAAGCTCGAAAACTAGTTGCATAAATATCCGACCGAATGAATTTTCTAGATAGACTTGCGTTTGCTCCAGTTTGATGTTATTGCGTAATTTGTGCACTAAATAAGAAAAAAAAAAAAACCTAATCGCTAGATCGATGATTCATATCTAGAAAGTTTGTGTTTTTCAAGATTTGTGTATGTGACTTTATAGCATATTCTTATGTTATACTCAATGTATTCTCACCGTGCAATTCATTTGCTTTGAAAAAATCTATATTTTACGATTGTCTATTATAATGTTTGCTATGAAACCTTGTTCATGCACATCACCAAGATGAGTTTTAAGGTTATTATAGATTAATTTGGTCAAATGCTTGAGTTTGAGTTTTGAATTTTTTTTTTTTTTCTTCCTGAGAGACAAATCTAATCAACTCTTAAACCACTTCTTTAAATGTATCGTAACCCAAATGCCCTCACAAAAATAAAAAAAAATAAAAATCAAATCAAATAATGCACCACAATAATACATTTCCATACAATAAAATACATTTTATATAAAGATGTTTTTAAAATATGTATATGTTATTGGATCATCTTATGTACATGTGTTGTATTAGTTTAGTTAGCCCATTATGTGAGTATATATTTAGTTTGTACAGACCCATGTAACTTGTATTTATTCAGTTTTGACAATTCAATACAGCTAGGTGAGAATCATTCACCATAACTTGGTATCGGAGACCTACTCTTTTATCTCCTAAAGTTTCACCTTGCTTTTCTTGTTCCTTTTTTCTTGCATACTTCATCTTCTTTTCCGATTTGCACCCTAATCTTGCACCATGTCAGGCGACAAAACTTCTCCTTCTACCCATAAAGCATATGTTATAACCAATATGGAATCATATGTTCCCTTAGTTCTAGATCTTACCACTTATAATTATCCATGGAAGGACATGTTCACTACACCGCATATGATGTTGTCGATCACATAAATAATTCCTAACTCCCACCAATGAAGAATGGAACAACATCAACACCATGATCAAACTGTGGGTTCTTGGGTGTATTTTGTAGTCTCTTATCAACTTTGTTCACTCTCCCAATGCTTCTGCTAGGCAAATTTGGCTCAACATCAAAGCACTCTTCTATGAAAACATCCATGCCACGACCCTCCAACTCGAAAGCGAACTCATAAATATCTCAATGGGGGATTTATCGGTTCATGATTATTGCATCAAAGTCAAAAAGATTGTTGATCTATTAGAAAGACTCGGCAAACAGGTGAAGGAAAACCATGTTGTCATTCACGCTATAAATGGTTTGTCTGGTAAATTCGATACACACCAAACCTTTCCTCACTTTTTCATAAATGTGATCATCACACACGTACTCCGTCTCTGTGTCATGTTGGAAACTAGTCATCAAACCACAATAGTGGTAGCTCCAACAGCTATCGTAAGAATGAAAGACGGGACCACAACACCAATTACAATAACCATCGTCGTCAACCACAGTCGCACCACCTCCAAGAAATCGCTATGGGTGGGTATATTTTCCACCACCGACACATGCTTCAAATCCCTCTTGAACATCTCATCCGTCGAATCATCCAACAATATGGGTCATGCACATAACAACAATAATTTCAGGTTAGTTATTCCTAAGGACAACCTAATTCAGCTTCAAATGGAATCCTTGGAATTCAACCAATACAAGCCTACCAAGCAGTCCACAAGCTTTTGTGCAACCCAACAGTCCTGATCAACTCCCTTGGGCTTCGTTGGGTGTTGTGCATCAGCCCACTTTATTCATTCACATGTTCCACAAGACATGTTTTTGTCTCCACCAGCTCCACACTTGGTATCAACGACTTGGTCATCCCGACGACCAAGTCTTAGAAATATTTATTTTCTAATAGTACTATTTCTAGTAGTTTACCAAAAAATAATGTAATTCGTCAAGCGTGTCAACTTGGCGAACACACTGGACTGCCGTTTTATCTTTCCAATTTTGTTTTTTCTTCACCTTTTGAAATTATTCATTCAGACTTGTGGACATCCTCTGTTTCTAGTATTGGTAGTTTACAATATTATGTCTTATTTATCGATTAGTATACTTATTATCTTTGGGTATATCCTCTTAAAGATAACCCAAAAGTCTTTCAAAAAAAAATTACATCTTTCCAACATCATTAAAAACCAATTTGGGGGTACCATAAAACAATTTCAGTGTGACAATGGGGGGAAAGTACAATAATACTCTTTTTATGACCATTTTTTTGCTAAGGGCATTATTTTCGTTTCTCATGCCCTCACACTTCTCAAAAAACAAAATTTTGAGTGCTAGATTCGCATTGTCAACATCATTATATGAACCCTCCTTTTTCACATACACCTTCCATGCACTTTCTGGCCTAAAACCCTACACATGGACTCTCACCTCCTCACTATTCTTCCTTTTATGGTTATTTCTAATAACAAACCTCACTATCATCTCTTTCACAATCACCCAACCTACGACCATCTCCGTGTCTTTGGATGCTTATGCTTCCCACGTCATTACACTTCTCACAAACTTCTTCCTCATTCCTCTCCCTGCATCATTCTTGGCTATCCCACCCATTATCGTGGTTTTTGTTGCTATGATCTCTCCTCTTGGAAGATCATTATCTTTCAGCACGTCACCTTTGATGAGACCATCTTCCTATATGGTTTGGTTACCCCCACCGAACCACCCTCTTACAAGTTTGTTTCTCAAAAGGATGCCTCCCTTATCCGCTATCTAATTCTTCAACCCTCCCAACCAAACGTCACCACGCCTCCTTATACTAACTTAGATACTTCTATTCACGATGAGGCATATTCCCTCTCTCCTCTACACTCTCATCAAAATCTCTTCCACACCTTCCTACCCCATCTTCTAGACATGCCCATTCCATGACCGCTCGCTTCAAACATGGAATTGACAAACTTGCCCAACGCATTAATCTTCATACCTCCTCTGTATCCTGTGTCTCGGGCCACATTTATAGGCTTTGAAAGATCCAAACTAGAATAAATCCATGAATGAGGAATATAATACTCTTATATTAAATGGTATGTGGTTACTTGTGCCTTGGCCTCTAGATGCTAATGTTGTTCGATCTATGTGGCTTTTTAAGCAGAAGTTCAACGCAGATGGATATCTATCACGATATAAGGCATGTTTGATGGTAAACGGCCGCAGTCAGGTGCAAGGAATTGACTGTGACGAGACTTTCAATTCGTTTTTTAACTCAGCTACCATTCACACTTTTCTTAGTCTCGGTATCTCTAGACATTGGCATATCTACCAGTTAGATGTGATGAATGCATTTCTTTATGGATACCTCCACAAGACTGTCAACATGCACCACTGGGTTTCAGGGACCCGCATCACCAAGACTTTGTTTGTCACCCCGACGAGCTTTATACAACCTTAAATAGGCCCCTCTGACCTGCTACTAGTGTTTTTCTCAACATGTTCTCCATATGTAATTCCAACACAGTTGGACGGATTCCTCATATGAGCGAGGAGGACATGAGGAAGCTTGTATCCGGTGGGAGGATGCCAGATTCGAAGAATGTGACAGATGCTTCTGAGCCATTTTCTATTGGTAGACAAAAGAAATCCAATTTTGTGAAGATAGGAAATCCACCTAAGTTTGGGAAGTCGGGTTTAGGTCATTCTGATATTTACAATCAAACTTCAGATTCTTCAGTGGCAAATTGCATAATCATTCAAAACCTATCTCTGGTCAAGGACAGGAAGATGTTCAACAAGCAGTGGGAGCTCTGATAAACTTGTAAATAGTGGAAACTCTGGTGATAACTATAACATTCCGTTTAAAAATAAAATAAAATAAGTAATAAAATAAATAAAGATAATAATAATGATAAATAAAATAAGTAAATAAGCCCTAAAGTCTTGTGATATATTTTACATTTTATTTTATTTTAGCCATATTGTGATATATTAATTGATCAGTGTTAGCGGCGAAGTTAAATGTTATAATTTCATGAAAATGGGGGCTATATTGAAACATTGGGACTTGAATTGTTATGAATATTGGAAGTTGGGGGTCATTTCATAATTATTGGGCTTAGCTTGAAAAGGATTTGACGGGGAGGGACTGGAAATGCAACTTTGGGATTTTGTTTGAAATGAGAACACGGGACTTAAAACCCGTTCCCTTCCACCTCTTGCTAACGGACACAAAACCCTAACCCTAAATAACCTTCAGCCGCCACCACCCCTCCTTGTTTTTCCGATCAGCCAAGACCCGACGAACCTTGTTGCCGATGGTATCGAAGACTGACGAACCGTGAGACGACAACTCGTCCGTCGGAGACCGTCGTTGCTACTGTTCCGATTAGAGGCCGAGCACCTCTCGCTTCTCCATTCATATTTGTTGTTGTTTCGTTGCCGCCGATACCGGGTCGGGTTGCGCCGCCGCTGCTGTTTCCATTGCCGACGAAGACGGTAGCTGTGAGTTGACGTCGCTGCTGTAGGCAAGGCCGGTGACTGTCGTTGTTGGAGATCTTGGTTATAGGTTGCGGAATCCTCTCCTTCTCCATCTCTCTTCTGTTGTTGTTTCATTGCTGCTGCTCCAGCGGCTGTTCCATTGTTCCCATTCTGTTCAACTGCCATACGCCACCGCGAGGGTGGTTGAGATTGGTTGCTGATTTCGGTAGTGAACTTGTGTTTTGTGTATGTGTGTTGTGTTTGTATGTACTTTTGTATATCTGTGTGGATGTTATTTTCTGTTTGCATGGTGGTGAGGCATGGCCGAAAAACGAAGAAGAAATCCACCATGGCAACCAACCATGGTGGTTGTCCCCTGTTGCCACCTCCTGCCGGCGTCAGCCACCATTTTTGGTGGTTGTTTTCGGCCTTTTATTATTATTTTGGTGCTAGTGTGTGTTGTAATACATTGAATGTGTGTTGGATTGTTGGATTTATTACTAAATCTGCCGCCATGTGTGGTTGGCTACGGCCTCCTGCCTAGAGGTGGCAAAAATTGACACGACACGAAACCCGACACGAACCCGACACGAAATAAATGGGTTTGGGTAAGATATTTCAACCCGTTTAAATAAATGGGTTGACACGACACGACACGAAAATTAAACGGGTAAGGTTAGGGTTGAGAATTTCAACTCGAATATGACTCGAAAATGACCCGTTTATTTATATGCAAGTTTTTTTTAATTATTTAAATAAACTAGAAAGATACAAAACCAAAACCATAAGTAAAAGAAAACCTTCGAATTGAGTCGTTTTGTAATATTGAAATGACTTAGCCGTCTAGATCAAGATTTAATTTCAGTTTTTCCATTCTCTCTCCAAACTACCCAGTCTCTTTCACCACTCTCACATCCTTGCGACCTTTTCATCCGCCTCCCCAACTCCCACTCTTTTAATTTTGTCATCTAAACATGCTATGACTTCATCTATTCTACCTCCAAACTATTAGTTTTTCCTTTCCGCCTACCCAACTCCTACTCTTTTAACATGCTCAATCTTTTAACCTCACATGACACGATATATTTCAAAGTATAGCCCTAACCCGAAACCCGACACGAACTCGACACGAAAATAAACGGGTTGACACGACACGACACGTTAATTAAATGGGTCGGGTTAGGGTCAAACACTTTCAACCCGTTTAGTGTTTCGACACGACACGAACCCGACACGACACGACACGATTGCCACCTCTACTCCTGCCGCCATGGACTGCCGCCGACCACCACTGCCCGAGGTGGCAGTGGGTGGTGCCCAATTTACTAATGATATATTTATTTAATTAGATAATAGTTTAAATTTTGGGGTTGGAAACCCTATTTAGGGTTTAGAAAACCCTAATATCAAGAAACACTAATTTTAGAGTTGGTCGCGAACTGCAATAAAACTATTACTTGAACCTAAAATAATAACTTAATAATTCCATACAATTAACTCATTCCAATATTAAACTTAATGGAATAAGTCCTTAATGAGTTAAGTGATGAACACTAACCCTAATTATCATTTTATGTAAAAACCCTAGAATCGAAGAGCTTTATTTCGAGTAATAATTAGGCGCGTATTTGGGATGTTGATTGGATTATTATTTCAACCGAAATCGACCAAGTCAAACATTAATCAATCATACCCTTAAGTGATTAAGTCCTTAATGGGTTAAGTATTCTTACTTAACCCTAATCGTCATTTCTTGTGAAACCCTAATCGTCATTTAATGTGAAACCCTAATCGTCATTTAATGTGAATTGGTTACTGTTGCATGTGACTATGACCTATGATCAAGTTTTGACTCAAGTATCTTCCTGTAAGTGATTGGAAGTGAGTTGGAGCTGGTAGAGTCCTTTATTGCTACAGTGGTTTCTACATGCACATCGAGGTGAGTTTCGCCTCACTGTACCTGTGGGTCGAAGGCACCAATTTCGGCCCACTAGTATTGATTATCTGTTAGTAGGGCATTCTTTAGGGACTGTATATAGTCATGTAGGATAGACTGAGGACTCTCGATCTAAGCTCTCTTACATGTTCCTTGTTTGGTTGTGGTTTTAGAGTATGATCACCTGTCCGGGTTACTATCTCACCTCTGTGTATATACGGTTATGCAATCCTTGGATTGTTGATATTTAGTATTCTGTTATGTTGTAGTGATCTATTAGATATATGTTCTGGTATTGAGTATGTTGTTATGCTGTAGTGATCTATTAGATATGTGTTCTGGT